GGGAACTAAAATTCTCCAAAAGCAGGGGAAGGTCAGCACTGGGTTCTCAACACCAACATGGAGGCATTTCATATTCTGCTCCCTTTACACCACCCCACTTATTAATGCAGACGTAGCCTAAACTATACAATGAGACCCTCAGCTCTTCCTACAGGGCCCAAAGCTTTCCGATAAAAGCCTGTGGTTCTGCTGCACCAAACTTATAAATGACAAAACCAACTCAGGACAGACACTCAAGGAGAATATCATTTTCTTTACGAAACACAGTCATTAGATGTGACATGGAAATGAGAAGCACAAAGAACAACTTCTTCAGTGTCAGCAGCATACAGAAAGGCTGTGGGCAATGCTCTCTACAAGAAGCTGAGAAACCATGAGATTGTTTTCTCCCCTTGTCTGGGTATTTTCTCTGCAGTTGGTGCATCAAGGCAGTAACAGGCAGCTTCTCATGTGCAGATTGTTTGAGACAGATGTCAAAATTGAGGGGGAGGGAAGAAACACCACCTCAAACAGGGTGAATGTCAATTCAATCTATCTTTTTCTTGTCTATCTGTGCCAAAGGGTGAGACATGGGGAGTGAATAAAAAAGCCCAACACACATCAAAACAGATCCCTGTGGTCTCTGTTGTAGCTGTAGAGTCAGGCCATGAACTTGGCATCAATCACACTCCTTCCCTCAGCCTTTTGTAGTGCTCCTCTCAGAGTTCTGTATTCACCAGCAAAAGCTGGATATGGCATTTATTAATGAAAGGCATTTTGTCAAAGCAGCACACAGCCAAAGAGATGAGGGGAGTCCCTTGCTTCACTGACATCAACAGGCTTTGGGAGGTCAGCACAGCAAAACACAGCTGCTAAATACACAGGGCTGGGTGCCCGCAGAGCAACAAACACTCCTGCTGAGGCACTGCACAACAGGACAATCCCTGCACAGGGAACATCCTCCCTGCTACATTCATCAACCTCTAACACATAGAAATAGATTCATTCTCTACAATTTTGCATTACATTTCTACCTGCTGAATCAAAAAGCTGGACAACCTCATTGTTAAAGAGCTGTTAGTAACCTTTTCCAATGTTCCAGTTAGCTTTTCTGGTACTTTTTAGAAAGCAGCAACGCGTTGGAAATATCTTTCCTGTTTTTATAAAGGAAAAACCTTTTCCAATATAAACAGCCCTTCTATTGAACTTTAATACACTTCCAACAAAAAAATAAAGAAAATGGAACAACAAGATCTCTTCCCCTCATCTGAATCCAAGTGACCTTGATCCAAACCTGTCATATGTAAAAACCTTCAGAGAAAATATTTCCTCTGTAACTAACTAGAAACTGAAAACATAATGAATTAGGCTGTGAGTGGTCTCCCTCCTCCTGACTTTTTTCAAAGAACTTTTTCTTGGAAAACATGAGAAAAACTTCTACTTTGGCAAACATATTTGATGTATTTTTACACTGGGTTTTATCTCTGAACTCAGACAGGCACTGACATAAAGACTTACATTTAACAACTGCCTACATGCCTTTAGAAACCACACACAGTAACCACTCTGTGTGCTGAGGCTTCAGTGGCTACTTCTGCAATTACTCCAAGAACAAAATCAGAAGTGCTGCACAAAGCTATTTTCCCTCTGATAAAGTTCACCTGACTTCCCAGTTGAGTACCTACTGCACAAAAGTGCGGCCAGATTTTTTTTGGGAAGAACCAACTTGTACTGAATGACCTGTACCAGCAGATTGCTCTTTCAAGAGTGAAAAACACTTCTTGAACTCAAAACAGTGATATCCAATATCCCAAATGAGAAGAGTGGCAGTTACTTGCAAATACTCTGCCACTTAATTTTACCAACTGCAAGTACCAGAAATAGAGAGTTTCAGGAGCTGCTATTCACTGCCACGCAGTAATTGCCATTTTTCTAGATGAGAACACACAGGCATGGAGATTGCACTGCAGGACTATCAGAAGAGACAGTGGCTACATAAGAAGAAAATAAACCTATTCCTGAGTTTTTCTGCTTACAAGTCACCTCATGGAGGACTGTAGCAGGAACAAAGACAACATTCTCCACCACCCTTCCCTAGTGACATGGGGATATTATCTGTATCTTCTCCCCCTCCCACACTCATTTCTGAATCTGCCTGTAAATAAGATGCTGTATCTTTGCTTGTTACATTCAGTTAAGCAGTTCTGCACACAGTAACTTCTCCCAAGCCATTGAATGCACCAGTCTTATCAGCAAGAGCCAGCTCTGGCTTTGTAAGGAAAATAAGCAGGTTATATTCACTTAGTTCAAATGTACCCACTCTAATTTGAGTTGCACTGACTTGATAAATGTGTGAGTGCAAAAGTGTTTCACAAACAGCTGTGTTCATGTGTCTGTGTATTGTGGGTTTTTATTATGTATTTACTTTAACTAATGAGAAGTGCTCCAGATAGTGAAGTGCTTTTCAAAAAAAAAAAAAAAATTAATTAATCTATCAAACCCGAATTGGAACCAAACTGGCATTAGTACAGGAAAAGAATGTCCAAGAAATGTTCACTTAGGCAATATTTCCTCTGCAAATAATGAATTGACACCTTGATCAGTCAAATTTTTGCAACTAAGTGCTCAGGGAAGTGCTCCCACCACAAAGACAAGTGATGATCTTGCACCTTCCTGTCTCCCAGCAGCCAGAAAGGAATGAGGGGACTCAGACTGGGGGAGCCTCAGCAAGATCAAATGCCAAGGAAGAGATCAGGGTTGGACTGCTCTTCTGGCTTCTCTCCCCTTCTCTCTGTCTTTCTGAAGTGGAGCAAGAACTTGTTCAAAAATCAAATGAACCAGAAATGTACTTAAGAGTCCTTCCTGAACACTGCTTCAAACAGAAATGTGAGCTCTCAGAGCTTCCAGGCTCTGAGACAATGACAAGGTACTATAAACAAAACCCACTTTGTACAAGCATAGCAACAAATTTCAGGAGCGAGAGCAGATGCTACTCTGACCATCCAAGTCTAGATCACAAATGGATTAAATCAGTTTTGTAACTTGTTTTTTTTTTTTTTTTTCCAGAGTAAAGGCATGCTTCCTCTCACTGAAGTGGCAGTTGCAGCATCTCTTTAACCAAAACAGCCCCAGGACTCCATTTTTCATACAAATCACAACTTCCTTGACTTTAATTTCCAAAGTACCCCCATTCGTATCTGTACTTTTTTCCCCTCACAATATACCAACTCTGTATCAAATATCAGCAAAGAGCACCATACACTGGTACATTGGAAAGCAAAGTAAATAACAAACACCAATTGCATTCTGTTTTCATAGAGCCCTTACACTTCCAAAAAGGAAGGTACTACTCATCTATTTTGGTTTAAATTTCAGGAAGCTAGAAAAAACAGCTGAGAAAGGCAGAAAAAAATACAATAATAGAAGTTTTTCAGCACATCTGTGATACTACATCATGTGCTACGCATCTTCAATTCTTTCCCAAAAACCTGTTAGTAAGTTTAAAATTTTACTTAGGCATACTTTAACTCAATTTATAGATCCTCTTATCGAAGATTTAATTAAATCAGATCACAGCTAGGAGTTAATGCTTGTCAGTATTTATCATCTTACTCAGAAGGGAGATAAAACCCAAATAAGTTAGCTTTAATAAACTGATGGTCAGACTGAAATGAACACAAGGAAATTAACCTCTTGCTCATTACACAAGAGACTTCATACATAGCAACACATACGGCTTACCTTTATTTATTTTATTTTATTTTACTTCTGCAATTAACAGAGCCAGGGAAAAGTATTTCTGATTCCACACACACACACAATGCCACAGGTCTTTTCTTTTCAACAGTTCATCTGCCATTTCTATTTGAAGCTGCTATTATCACTGCAGAAAGTTAATTACTTAGCAACAACACATCTGACATCGCTTATATCAGAGGTTTAGTCATTGTTAAACCTTTGCTTTGCCACTGGAAAAAAAAAATCCTTGCCTGAAAAATGCAAACATTTTAAGGCAATATCAGCCAAATTTTCCATGATCTTGTTGCAGTAATCATCTTACCAGGTTTCATACCAGTAACTCTCTTTGGCATAAAATAAAACATCAGGCCCATGGCTGGGTATTTCTCATTGTTCTGCTATTTTAAAGGTGATGTGATCTGCTCTTAGTGACGCTAGTCCAGATGGCAAGAACTTCATCAGAGCTAATGATCTCCCATCCCTGTAGTGTACCAGGCTCCCTGACCTTGAAGTCACGCTGTTTTACCCACCCCTCTCCCAGGAAGCCACCTCTCAGGGAGCCTGAAGCAACAGCAAAGCTGCTTTCCCCAGCCCTTGCCTGCAAAGAGCAGGGCATTGCTACCCAAGCAAAGACTAAAGGAGCAATGAACTCCACTCCCACTGCTCTAATGCTTTGCGAGCTGCTCTTCTGAGGGGCCAGCAGCAAGGTCCCTGTGCTCACACAAACACTCTCAGAGCTGGCAGGTTTCACACAGACACTGTGGTTCACCACAGGAGTCACACTTCCCGTTCAGTGCTCCTGTGGGTATCACTTGAAGCACATTATATTTGCATTAACCCATTAACCTAAGAGAGAAAGTGCTGACAGCATTCTGCAGTTCACCGCCTACAGCAGAACTCGAGCACATCATGACAATAACCCCAGAGGTATCACAGCTCTCTGACCACACCACGGTCTTAATGACACCTGTCAATATTTTGATAATGAAATTGAAAAGTAACAACATAAACAACAGAACAATGAAACATTCATTCTGCCATAATCACAAGGGAAAATAAATATCGGTTCCCCCTGATCTCAAGCAAAGCATTACTTCATACAAAGTCAGATTTCTGAAAAAATTAAGCTGAAGTGTGTCACATTTCCTCATGCCTCAAAGGCATTTGTACTGAAGTTCACTAATATTTGGCATTTTATCTCAGTTTGCTGTGGATTTCCACAGCATCTGAAAAGATCTCTCTCCAGGCTTCCATTATAAGAAAAATTCAACAGCTTTACTTACGCATTAGGTTGTAAATGTGCTTTTCTGCAACATGTTCCGTAAACAGCTTTATAAGGTCATCTTTTAAGTCTCTGTTTAGCTTGGTTTCTATGTAAAATTTATTCTGGAAAATAAGACAGAAGTTTTCAAGTTTGTTTCTCATAATAGCAAATAAAGTAAACTTATTTTTTCTCCCTGAATAAAAACAGTTCAGAATATTGAAGCTGTAGAATATTTCACCTTGGTGACTGCATTTAAACTATATAGAACATTCCTATACAACAAAAATGCATAGATGACAAACCTACTTACATACAGCCATACATATTTATTTTGTTTTCTCTATCTACAGATGTACCTCCATAACAATCCAGACTGGAGAGCTTGTATACAAAACACTTCATTTAAGAACTCCTAGAAATTTTTAAAGTTCTCTTAACACTAAAATACAGCTGGACATCATCTTTGTAATGAAAGAATGTATTTTTCCAATGACTAAAAGCAATTAAGCCATTAAAATAGATGGGATACAACAATAAAACATCAGCACAACTATCCACTTCTGTGGTTCATTGACAGTCTCAGGGGACAGCTACTCACAATGAATCAGTTGTGGAAATAAGATATATACAAAACTACACAAAAGCGAGCAACATTAAAATTTTTAGGATTCCATTACTTTGACCAATTCAGCATTAATAAAGAACTCATCTCTTTGAGGGAAATTCAAAGATAATTCTATTCATGACTTCCTTGAGGGCCCAATACCTAATGTACTATTTGGTACCAATGCTCCATTTCCTGCAATTAACAGCAAGATTTCCTTTCTGTGTCTTACTCATAGAAGTGTTTTAAAAGCTGTGGGGGAAAAAATTGCTTCAAGATAAATCTCCTACCATTAAAAAGCTAATTTGGAAGTAGAACAGCTGAATTAACTAATTTGGACAAATGGTGCAGAAGAGTTAAACAGATAATCTAACAAAAAATAATCCATAGGAACACTTATCTGAGAGATTTACTAGAAGAAGGGATATCTTAAGGGAGGAAGGTTTTTCCACACTTTAAATCAAGTTTTTCTCCTATTCTTTAAAGCATTTAGCAAAACCAGAACAATTCAGAACACAGAGCAATCTTCCTGTTTTTGTGTGAAACCCATTCTCTTGGCCATTTTCAAAACTACAAACACACCATAACAATCTGTCCAGACAGAAACCCCTCAAACTTTTGAGAGAATATTCACCAGCAGTTATTTCCCTTTAATAAAGATTGAACCTGATAGAAAAAAGGCAATCTGAGGTATGCCCCTAGTATACCTTGAGTTTGCTGCAGTGTTGGACAGCAGCCTTAAGAAGATTTTTTTTTTTTTTAATTTGCTAAACTTGCTGCTGGTGGTTCCCTCTGATACCCTGAATTTATCCTGTTTGTAGAGATTTTATCAAGGACTAGGACTCAGTTGTTTCCCCCACCTGGGCCTGTGAAACAGAGATTGAGGGAAAGGCTCTGCACATGGATACCCTAATTAGAAACAGACTAACTTATTGGTAATGGTTTTGGTCAATGGTGAACTGCCATTGCAACAGAAACCCACAGCAACTAAGGATACATTCTGAGGAATTGTTAAGCTACACACCACAGTACAGCCTTGCACCAGAACATTTTCCCAAACCAGTTTGCACAAGATGTGCAAATTATGATGCCTCATTTTGCTCAGGGGCTGGAAAGCCTAAACTTTTAATTCCAGTAATTTCACTACTAGAAAAGCAACAAAACCCTCCCAGCAGTTACAAGACAGTACAAATACAGAAGAAATGCAAAATACTCTTCACATTTGCTCACTTGGAAACATATTTCCAAAACGATGTGTGAGCTTAAATAGACAATGAAAAAGCATCTAACTGTAGCACTTTATTTCCAATCCACAGTGCTGAAAGGAGCAGAAGAGCTGTCACCTCCCCCATTCTTGTTAGGGGTACATCAGGAAGATTTTCTGTATAACTTGTCACTACCTAGGCTGGGCCAGTATTTCTTGAAAAATGTCTCAAGTCACATAAAGGCCAAACTGACACATAAAAGGTAAGCAGATGTGAGTAACTGAGAAAGTCAGATATGATACAAACATTAATTCTACAAACCTTACAATAAAGCAATCTGACAAATATTAAAAGATAAAAATCAGTTAATATTAAGAGGAGATCAATAAGTACTTGAAAGAAGAAAACACAGTATATAGGTGCACTTATCACATCATACATATATTTGTGTACACAGACACACACAAAATGCCCTCTAGCTGATAAGAAACAAAGTGCAATACAATCCCTACCCAGTAGGGATAACAATATTTTGGAGGCAATGAAAAAATTTCAACTATCCCAAAACCACAGTGCTCACAAATGTTAGGCTCATATAATGTGATAAAATAAGAGATTTTCAGTTATATCTCAAAGTAAAATGAAAAAAATGAGCTTCTATAAGAAAAATATATTATCTAAATTTTATTTTTTATTCAAATGGAAATATTTTTTCATTCATGTGTGTAGCACACTGATATGTACAATCTATAAGCACACAGAATAATCTCACTTAAATTTACAAAATAGCTTTCTGCTAGGAGCAAAGCACTGTGTATGAAGCTGACTTCCAGTTTAATTTCCTTTACCTTCAGTTATATCCCTGAACTTCTAAAGAAGCCTAAACCCAGGGAATCTCAGAGGGTCTTTTGGCCTCCATACTTTTCTGACAAATCTGCTGCAGCAGCCTAAGACTGAAAAAATCCATCACCATGTGAAAAAACAAAGTCCTCCCAGCAAAAGGAGGAAAAAGAAAACTCCCTCAGTTGCAGGGTCAGTCCTCTCAGCCACCCCTCCTGATAAGCTTGGAAACACACAGAGGGTAAAAAATCACCTTTCCTGCTTTGGTATATACCAGGAAAGAAAAGTGCTGCTGCTGCTTTTAAGACACACAGGACTAAGACGAAGACAAAATATTATGCCATATTCCAGCTCTACATAAAAGCTTTAGTTTTTCCTCAGCTTCGTTGATTTTAAAAATATTTAAATGCTTATTAAAAGTTTTCCTACGCAGCAATATAATTATCCTTACAGAACAAAGTCCTCAAGAGCAACTCAACAGCCTTGGAAACCCCCGATTAAAGCAATCACTGAAACGGAAAGCCTCATCACCCCTGACATAAAGGCAGAGTTTAACAACTTTGACCACTTCAAAATGCTTTGAAAAGTACCCATTAAAGTAACTGCAAAGCTGTAATTTAAACTGTAATTAGGCTTTCACCTCTTGCAGTTGTTTTTCCATTGTACTTTTGGACCGAACAGAGGAAACTGTTGCTGCCATATGAGAAAACTTGATTAGACACTATGTATGTATGTATGTAAGATTGTAAGAGTACCGGTACACAGAAATACTTCCAAATGCATACAGAAAAAACTAAGAAACACGTTTCTTCACTCTGACTTCTCTAGATATATTTCCCTCATCATGCACAACACAGAAATTATTTCAGTGAAAAAGTATGACAGCTAATTTGCCATTAGCCTTATAAACCAGCTGTACAGCTGAGCCAAGTCAGCATCGCTTTTGGCAGCAAGAGGAACTAACAGGTAATAGAACCAGGTAAAAAGGCAGATCAGAAGATACCACGTTCAAGAAAGGCAAATTCCTCTTTAATCAACATATCTGTATGGTAACTTAATGCCAAAATATGGTAGTAAGTTACCTAAATTCACTGAGACACAGAAGAGCCTCCTAAAGGCTTCTGCTTCCCAAACTCTGAAACTATCAATGTGAAAAACTCTTCAGAGTTTGAGGCTTATTTAATGCTTTTGTTATTTATTTTTTTTTTCATTCCTAAGTGATGCCAAAACAAGTACAGGTTCTCTGAGATGGACAAATTTCAAGCTTAAGTTATTCATTATCAGCAAAAAAAAAAGCAGTGCAAGTTTTGGTACTTCGACAAAAAAGATGCAAATTATTGGTTTCTGAAGCATTCCAAGTACACCTGACAGTGCTATGAACATTATTTTTCTTTCATCCATCCAACACTCTGACTTGCTTTATTAAATGATAAAGACATTTCCAAGACAAATTTCTTCCTGTCTTTTCTGAATCTGTACTATTTGAAAGCAAAAAATAATCATGTCCACAACCTGCCCAAACTAAGAAGCCAAAACTTAACAAGTCAATAAATTATCTCTGTTCAAAAAGGCATAAATAATGAACTATTTGAGATGGCCACTTTCCTTTTAAAATCAAAACCATTCTCCCCACTCCCAGGAAAGAAGTATTAGGGCAGCAACTGCAAAACTCTGCATTTAAGAAGCATGGCTGCCCCTTCCTCTCCCCATACAATTTGATTAGTATTGTTAGGCAGGCACCAAAACTAGGCATGAATCGTAAGTTTTACATGTCAGAAATCATTATAGCTGCATTTTATTCTTTTCACTTTCAGTCAGCATCTTGTGTATGGACATATTTATTTGAAAATAATTTTCTAAAACTTACCATATATATGAAAAGAGGCACAATGCTCTGCAATGCTCCCATATACTGTCCAAGAGCTACGTTAAATCTTTCAATATAGAGATCTGGAGGGCTGGCCTGCAAGAAACCGTAAAAGTCAGGTTGTAATTTGAACAAGAGAAAGATCTGGAACAGCATGGGCTATGCTTTCATAGCAAACTCAAACAACTACAAAGGATTTGATGCACTAGGTCCACACAAAGCAAGCCACACATCATTCCAGAGTTTCTGCTCTACCTCCCTTCAGTAACTAGGTTTTGCCTAGGACTACACATCAGTGCCCAGCACAAGGTCCATTCAGTCAGAAATACAGTGAGCCTATAACAAGCTGACATTTAGCATATGCAAATAAAAACACCTTTTAAAGACCAGAGGTTTGTTTTGAAAGCACCAGCTGTCATGCCTAGAATCCATAACCAAATCTGCACAAGTGCTGCAGTGTGTGCTCCCACCCCCCTGAGCTTTCACTCCACCAGGGCAGGGTGGCATAAAGCTGCTGCTTTGCAGCTGAGCTGGTGAGTGGCACACGTTCCAGCTCCAGGAAACACTATCCTCCACAGAAAACCTTTCTAAGTTACTGCTGGGTCACCTCAGGCAAGGCAAGTGGTCAGGGGGTTCAGCTTCACAAAGAAGCAACATCTTCAGAGAGAGTTCTGCATTCAGGTCTCATGCTCCAGGTCTGGCCTGTGGAAATCTCCAGCTGTGCTCCAGCTCATGGCACCCCCCTGCAGCCCCAGCCTAAACTTGGCTACACAAAACCCAAATGTGCTATTTTCTGGCTACAATACCCTATTTCCCAAAGAAGGGGATAAGGAAGCTTAAAATATCTGTTCAGCAGCAGGTGAAGTTAAATGGAGAAGAGAACCAGAGGAATGGGAAGCACTGAGCACTGTTTCTGTTACAATATCCATTTGGAGGCCTGCAGGGGAGCTGCACAGGAGCATCCAGAAGTGCACTTGGACACCCACAGCTGGAAGTGGAGCTACAGCAATGTCTTCCTCCACTATCCACTTCTCTACCCAAATCCTCCCCCTTTCACTGCCCTACCTCTGGCCCAACCCCTGCTTTGGTCTCTCCAGAGGGGTGGGTGGCTGCTTGAGTTGCTACTGCTCACATATACAGATACACCTATATACACCCAAGGGCAAAGTGTTGCTTGCTAATGAGAAGCAAAACTTCTCTTCCCCTGCACTGTTTTCCCCTCTGACAGCACCAAGCCAAAAGATGGAGAATACAGCAATAACTGGGACCTTGCAAGAAAACAAGTTCAAAGATTTTCCTAAAGCCAAAGCATCTGTGGCATGAGAAACACTCAATGCTTAGCTGCACCTCAACCACCTTATGAACACTTAGTTATCTTCACAAACATTTTTCAGCCTTTGATGGGCATTCACCAGCAGCCCTAAGAGAAAAGTTAAATTTTATGTCGATATTTTGCTCTATTAAATATTCTAAATTTATGACCTTTTTTTTCCTCCTTTAAAATAGATTTTTTTTCTTCCCTTCTTAATACTCTTAATGAACACGTGGGTAATTTTCACAGTAAACACCGATACAGAGCAGACAGTTCAGAAAGGAAAGCAATACTGGCAAAGGAAGAAAGAGTGTTATTCCATATGCAGTTGCCAAAGGCTATATATGGTTATTCCTCATTTTGATCATAATGTTTTCAACTTATTGCAAATGCAGCTCTCAGGGGTGGCCAAACAAATTTCAGTTCAAAATGCCAACAACGTATAAAAGTGGCAATGAGCTCCAAGGACTCCCTTTCATATATAGCTACATATACAATTTGTTGCAAATAACATGCAATGAAATCCGCATTCTAAGCAGTATGTATTCCTGCTTCACTCCTTTTCAACCTCAACTTTAAATATGGTTATACCCTCTGATTTGAATACAGCTTCTAAGATTAAAGAAAAAGGAAAATGAAAGAACACGTCAGACAAAAGGAGAGCATAGCCTGACACAGGGCACCACTCTTCTCTCATTGATAAATTGCCATTTTTATTAAAAAAACAAAACAACAACAATAAAGCCAACAAGAAAAAACACAGACAGAAGCTGTCTGGGCAGTGGAGATTTAATCCCAGGCAATGCATGCAGCCAGTCTGCCACACTTTTGACAGGGGATATAAGCACTGATGTCTATTTTCCCCGCTGCAGATGAGAACTCTGCTAGCTCAGCTCCCAAAGCCTGTCACAGTAAGGGAGGCTGTTTCTGAGGGCACAACATCTGCACACCCAGCTGGCTCCTGAGAATGACCTCAAGAGCCCTTTAATGGAAGGATACCAGGGAGCTGTCAACCACCGCCTCACCTTGCTATCAAGTGGAAAACAACTGCTCTGGATAAAGACAAAGAATGCTAAGAGAGGTCCTAATGGCTTCAGAGGAAGTGCCTCACTAGTGTCAGGCAAAAATCAAGCCTTGGTTTTAACTTCTGCAATGAAGAAATTATGGTGTTGTCTGCTTTATCAGCATGAAATGTCAGTTTTCAATTTTATTCTCCTGATAGCGTTTCATGTCAAGCCTCAACAGCCAAGACATTAATAGTGATAGACAACAAAAAAAAAGAGCAAGCTTGACAATCAAACTCTGCTCAACTAAAGCTTGACTTGTAAACCACCAAGTAGTAAGTTACCAAGCCAAAGAGAAATCAACAATAGTATTTTCACAGCTCATCTATGAATTACTGTAATCTGTGTGGGGAAAACAGAACCATCTGTTTTCTGTTCATCACAGTGTTACTGTATGGCCGCTCCAAACTGGCAGACTGAAATCAATTATTTGCTTCAGCACAGGACTCTTCTCCACATCCCTATATTCACATTTACAGGACAGTAACTGGAGCTGGAATAGTTTTATATAATGCCTTGAATTTTGTAAGCTAAAAAGCAGCACATTGCAACAAACTCATGAGTGAACAGAAGCTGCTAAAATTTTTATATTAAGTTGCCATCAATAGAGCCCAACTTGCATTTAAAATCTACACTTATTCAGATGCAGCTATTAAAAGAAAAAAACCCAAAAAACTGTTTTGGCTGACACTTTTTACTCCTGGTCCTAGTCCAGAAAAAGAGAACATATACATTCTGCTGGTTAATTTACAAGGGGAGGGGCAGAATTAAGCATGACATTTACTTCTTACAATTCCCTAGCAACTATTAAAAATTTTTAAATCCACTCCTATTTTACCTGAGGGGTGTATTACAGAAATTACTCAAAAATACAAAATACACACTCCTAGCCTAAGGTTTTCCAGGAAAGAAGAGGATCCCTCATTCCTTCACTTCTCATCCTGAATCCTATCATATTGGCAATTCAGGGGGTTAGGGATAGTTTTTATGTAAGTTTGTTGGCTTTTTGGATTGTTTGGGGTTTTTTTAAAACACCCGACACAGGCAGACAGTTTAAACCCTCTCCTACATTCACTCTTATCTACCACTTGTAGGGTTAAGAACAGTTTTCCAGCAACAATTGTATTGTGTGTCTGTCCACAGAAGCATTGAATGTTTGATTGGATTTCCCAAACTCTGATGCAGTTGCATTTGCTTAACATCTTCAGCTTGGCTGTGAGTCAACTGCTTCTTAGAATAAAATCCCATGAGTGCTGTTTAAAAGCTGATGTTAAAAAGACACAATTTTGTCTCCTTACACAGTGGTCATCTCAGCATCAACAGAAATGAGAAGTAATAAGAAAACACATTTGAGAAAGGATGACATACAAGACACAGTCAAAACAAGCAGCTGGAGATCCTGCATACTAACTTACCCTTCCCTTATTTGAAATCTAATATCTAAGCATTTCAACACACTTGTGGACAAGAAACTATTTATCTGAGAAAGATCTAGGTTTTTTCTGCTTGAAAACCAGTCTCAGTATCATTCTTAAACTGAACATATGATATCAGAAGGCAGATGCTGGCCCAAAACAACTCAGAAAGGGCTCATAAAAAAGAAACAGAGACAACAGTTCTGTGCTTGAGGAACACAAAGTTAATCTGTTTATGAAGAGTCATTTGGCACAACCAGCAGTACGTGTAGTAGAGCTTATATTCCTATGGTGAATGGGCAGCTCCATTATCCTGGGAATATGCTCCCTGCCAAAATGCCAGCACATATGCTGCAGCATCCCTCCCACACCTGCCAAGTGAAAAGGGAGAATGGCTACGACTACACAAATTAACCTGTTATTCATGTAAGAGGTCTGAATCTTCTAAACCACTCTTTGTTCTTTCTCAAGAAAATATAATTTGTTTACCTTGCCTTGCAATGTATGTGATGCCCAGGTCTACCTCACTAGACATTGGTATTATTAAAACATTTTACAAAAAACAGACATCAAGCCAAAGCACAACTGATTCAAAGGCTGTGTCTTCCTTGTCAAGCCTGCACTCCAAACTATTCAAAGCCTCATGACATTTTCTCATGTAACTGTCTTACAGCAGGTTAGCAAGTGTTTCATTCCCATTCTACAGGCTTGTAAAACAGTAAGACATTGTATCTAAAGACCATCAAAACCGTGTAGCAGTGAGAAATCTTCAGAAGCTTTTCTATCTATTAAATACATAATAATTTGTGCTGTATTTACTTGTATCTGTAACTGCAACAAGGTCTGCAGAGCTGCAGGACTACAAGCCTTTCCAACAAGCTGCAGGCAAGAATGCTCCTATCAGCTTAACTTGCAGATGTCTGTGTCATTTTAATGGCAATTCAGGCAATATGGTCACCCCTACTACTTCAAGTCCAAAGCCATCTTTTTGATGTCCACACACAAAGATACAAACATTTATAACATTTCTGGTTTCTACCATCTGAGTTCAAATCATCCATAGGATCTGACTGAGTTCAGTGGAATTCACAGCAATAAATCCACTTTAATACTAAAGCTGCTTTTGCTGATACCTTTGCCAGGGGTTCTTTGAGCACCTTAAAGCCCTCATTCAGGACACCTGGCTCCCATACACATTCTCCCAAGGACACAGCAAGTGGGACAATACTTTCATACACTGCACTGACTGGTTTGAGAGCTGACAAGACAAAAGGCTGAGAAGTTGTAACGATTAATATCAGGCAGGAAACCTTTCTGGCATTGCACAACAAAGACTACATAAACCTGCAGGTCCTGGAGGTCAAACAGCAGACATGCAAATTATCCACCAACACCAGCAACTCCTCAGTGCAGTCATGTTCATTATAAAAAATATAATTCATCATCATAAAAAACCCCACCACAAACAGAAAACAACAGATCCCTTTTTCTCTCTCCTCTAGATAAAAAAAAGGTGCAACATGACAAATAAATGGTTTTCAGCTCTCGATCAGTTCACAAAGGAAGCACTGAGTTTATTCTAACTGAAAGGAAAATATTGCACTGCACCTGCACAAAAAAGCTACATCTGTAACAAGCCAGCTCAAAGCCACAACACATTCTGACCATCGATGCTTTTTTTCCAGCATTTTTTGCTATAGAGATATGCAATGAGTAAAGTGCTTGATTTTAAATTACTTTATCAGAGTGAATAATAATAAATTAAGCCAGAAACACTAGTGCTCAACGCAAATACAGGTTCACTCATTTTAAAGAGATGTATTTAATTTGAAAGCATATGTTTGTGTATCCACCCTACCTCATACATCTGAATGACTCAGCAATTACCCACAAAAACAGCTGACATTATTTTAAACCACAACATAATGAACCATGTCCATTACCAGTGAAATGTTTCCAAACAAAGCATCTTAGAAAAATCATCTGCATGCTACAGGCTTCACAGACCTCAAGACAACAGGAAAAAAGTTAATGTGTGTTTTCTGTAGCGACACTTTATTTTTTCTAAGCTGACAAAATCCAAAATTCCAATCAATTCAGCAATTATGGACACTGAATTCTCAATTACCAAAAGTCTACATGGTAAAACTCTGTCTTAAACAATGCAGAGAAGCTGGTCAGACATCAGCTGCAGGAAAGGAAAGCAATCCTTGCTGTGAGTCTCTCTAAAGCAGTCTGAAGAGAGGATCATTAAATGACAGATACAGTAATGAGGGAGCTGGAAATGGCTTGGCATACAGGAGGCCCCATATCAGCCTGATGACAAGCATTTCATCTCATCTAAACGCACCATTACTCAGCAAGCAGGGCTCACTGCTTTGCACCCAATGTCCAACATGCAGAAATACACCAGCCCAGACACATTTTCCTGTGGCCTCTGCCAACACTGAAAGTAGCTCTCTTAGCTGAAAAGCTGAAACAAACCTTTGGGAATGCACAGGGCAACAAACACCAACACCACACAAGCTGTCCTGCAGTCTGGAAAAGCAGAAGTTACACAGAATGACCAGGGTTTGTTCTAAGTGTCCCAGCACAGTGTCCAGCTCAGGACACATGAGTGTCCATTACTCTGCTGACTCCAGCTGTGGCCAGCTGCTCAAGCAAGCACAGGGCTACACACACAGGGATGGGGGAAATAAATATATATAGGGAGTTTCTACAGTGAATGCCCCAAAGAGAGAAACCAAACTCCATTAAGACTAAATCCAGGCAAGAGCAAGTCTGACTAGTCCCCTGAGGTGCTCCCACTTTTACTTTTTGGTATCTGGGTTTTACTGGTTTGGCTGTTGATGAGTGGTTCCTGTAGGAGACAGCTTGCTCTGGCATGTTGGTTACATGCAGACATTCTGCAGCCCACTTGCCATTGAACTGTTACACTGCTACGCAAAGAAAGTGCTGGCCTGTACAGAGAAAGATACTGCATTTGTCTGCCATTTCAGTCTCCATAACCATCTGTTTTCTTACATATACCAACATTCCTGCTTCTACTAGGCTACTTTTATTACTAAAAACCAACAACTTGCATCAAGTCATAGCTTGCCAAATAAACAGAACTCTTAAATGTTGTTGGCAGGTGAATGAGATTATGTCAGAAAGCAAAACACCACAAACTGTGCATTAAAAGAATTCACATATATAGGTTTTTTTCATTGTTTGCCTGTGGGAACCAGAAACTTCCAAGCAACCAACATTTACAAAGTAATTTGCTATTGTTGCTAGGTAAAGATCTAAAACTGCATTTTCCACATAAATCCCGAGTAACTGAATGTCATCAAAATGTATTAAGATCAAAGAAGTATCAGGATAATTAAAGATATTGTAGTAATTTCTTAAGAATAAATTTCACAATCCACAGCTAAAACAGTTTCTTTATAGAACAATTTTTTGAGGCACGTGAGAGTTTTACTTCCAGCAGCTCAAAAAGATCCATTTGTCATCCAAAAGCCAAGTCATGTTCACACGTCACACAAAACTCACATAATGCACTCAAAGATGCTATCGTGTTATATTACAGGTGTGTCTAACCTACATAAGGAAGCTTTTGCAAGGCAAAGATTGCATTAAATAATTGTCTCAATTATTCTTTCAACAAGCTGATGTTCAGAAGGCAGCCCTGTTTTTAGGCAGAAGTATTTAGGCTCATATGTGCTAAAGCAAACTTTAAAATCAGCTACCTCAGTTTTGGGACTTAAGAGAAAAGACTCAAAAATTAGCACGGAGTAAAGAATTTAGGTTATTCCCAAATTCAAATCAAACTAAAGCAGTGTATTACCATGGGATATATCAGAAGAACTGGCCAAACCTGTATAGCTAAAATTATTCATAGCTCTCACACAGAAGAAAAAAGTGCAGGCTGCACCAGCTCAGCAGAACCAAGGGAAGGCTTTATTTTAAATACTATGTTCACCAGCTCCAAGCAATTTTTACAGAACACTGAGGCTGTCACTCCATGAGGAATAAAGAGAACATAAAAGAGAAAAGAAGAAAGAACCTAGCAAATACCATGCCTATTAAATGCTGGGTGGTTATTTTTCTTTATAAGGAAAGCCACAAGAGGAAAACAGTGCAACAAAAAGGACATCAGAGAGATCACAGTGCTATATATTTTGGGAATGCACATTTAGCCAGAAACACCTTATGCAGTTAAAGCATTAAGACTGTTTTGGGCTGACAAAAATTAGTTATCAATGTGTTAGAAGCACTGAAGAAGCTGCTGCAGTTTAGGGTTTCTTTGTATCTGTCTCCTCTACTTCATACACTGCAAATCAGTACAGAACTCAAACATCAGTTACAGAAGTGAAAAAAGCTGCAGGGAAAAATCAAGCGGTGGTGCTGCTACAACCATGACAATTTCAAGAACATATCTGGAGTTTCTAGTCTAAAAGGAATGTTCAACAAGGAACACACATGAAAACAATCATGGATGCACAAGTAAGATGCAGAGAAGGATAGGGATATACAAACTCTACATATTAGGACTGCTGTAAACCACTGACATCTACAGATAGGCAAGAAAAATGCAGAATAAGGTGTAACAGAACTCTATATGCAGTAATTCTTCACTTATACTTCACAATCTATATTTAATTCACTTAAATTCTCTTTAGATTTTCCCTTTTGTGTTGCTTCTTGTGCACAAGAACTATAAACAGTTTATACACACTTACACAGGAATGGCAGACATTTATTTCATGTGCTTAGATCATGATTGACTGAAGTATTTACATCCCAGATTATACTTAAGATTTCCCATTCTCCATTCTTTCATTCTGTACCATATGTTCAGGTTTAGCCACTGCTCTCCACATGGTTGAGATCTTCAAGGTCTGGCAGTGCCAAACCTTTGGATCTCACAGTTGGTTTTCTGTCTGACAGCCCATTAGTGAGTGAAGTAGTTGATAACTTTCTAAGTTAATGTAAATCAGTCTTAATAGCAATCCCCTCCATGGGCCACCTACATACTGCTCTGATATAATCACAGATCCCAGGAAAGAGAGAATTAGATTGTGCAGCTTCTTACCTGCAGCTCCTTTGAGACTCTCTCTAAGTGGTTAGTTATCTTTTTTATTAGGTCACTATACATCTGTTCCGAATGCTGCTGGCATACACACTTATACACACAACTGCAGAAACAAATATAGGAACAAACAATGAACTTACAACAGTTTGCAATGAACAGTAACAGACTTCAAAACATTTTGTTCAAGTTTCAATTTAGAGGATAACAGAGTTGAGTGAATGATTGTTGAACTTTTAAATATAGTCCTAAGCTTGGAATGAGCTCCAGCAGGCTCCCCTGGAGGCTCCAGGGTGTCCATCCCATTCCCCCTCCCCAACTTCATTTTAACTTACAATGAGTTCTCTTAACAGTGCACTTCAAAACAGCCAGGACAGTTCTGTTAACAGTACCTTCCTACTTCTGGCTTTTGTCTCTCCTATGTGAATGAAGTCTCCATTAAAATAAGCAGGTTTAACAATTCTATGAATATTCTAAGGCAAAACCCTTACTACAAGAAGGGGAATGCTGACAAGTATCATTGAAGTTGCATCAAAACCATGGCAGCATTAAAAAGAAATGGCAAAAGTTCTAAAATTACAGACCCAAGCACGCTTCTCCATTCTTTTTTACTTAAATTCTAAGAAAATTCTGCACTTTCATAATAAGGAAAGATGCAGAAAAAGAGCAATAGAACTAATTATGCATTCTGTAGCTTTGCTGTGTTAACTCTGGTCTTCAGTGCAACCTTTGATTCTTAAGAACACTTTATCGCTCTCATACTGCAATATAACATCCAAAAACAAGGCTACTCATTGAAGACATATTTACAGCAGTTGTAAAACAAATACATGGATTACTTTCAGCAAGATGTTATTCAAGTAACCATCACTGTCAGGACTAACACCAACATTCATCTGTACCAAGCAGCTTTTAGTCCTCAGTCAGCATTTTGAAATTTAGCTGCCAAATCCAAGAGGCCTCAGGGAGGGGTCTACCAGGGAGACTTCACCTGGTATCTTGGCCAAGTCACATCTCTATTCTGCTCCCCTCTCCACTCCTCTGTACCAAGAACTGTGACAGTAAGCAATTTAGGCCAGAGACTGCTCCTAGGACATGAGCAAACAACCGATTTCCAGGGAGATCCAGATGCCAGCCCTGAATTCTGTAGGCTTTAAATGGCCCCAAAAGCCCAAAGCTATGGGACAGCAACACTGTATCTCTGTAGGGGAACTATCACTTTCCAATTTTCTGCTGAGAAGATGGTACAAAAACAGGCAAACTACAAAGATGGCAAAAGTCTGCTTATTTGGTGAACCATGTCATTTCTTAAAACTAAAAGAGACTCTACACCTCTCATATTATTGTATTTTAAAAATAATTGAGTATCTGTAGTTTGATATTATTTAAATACTAGCAATCAAGGTCATTTTTTTTCATATCAAGTCTACCAATAGCAGATCCTATATTGAAAAAAGCAACTGCAGAAGATATTTTGGTACAATGCTTTTTGCTAAGAGCAAACATATCAGCTTGGTTTAGATCAAATAGAGAAACACTGCTAAGAAAAGGGAGACTGATTTTTGTGATCTCTTAGAAAATCAGCCAGCTGGGTAACCACAGCAAATGGCCACACATTTGTTTGCTCCCACACATTTGTTTGCTCCACAGCTAACCAGTTCACAGACACTTCCACACCTGACTGCCTTATTTGTATGCAACTAAACTGGATTTTAAAGTACACTTCTCCTTAGTGTTACACATACTATTGCTGCCACTATTTCTGCAACACACTCTGTAGTCAAACACCAGTTTTCCCATGTACGCATTGGGTGTGTTTACATTTTATTTGAACACTTCTATTTAGATGTTCCTTCCCCATTTTGAGATCCTGTTTTCAGTTCCTGATTGTGAGCTAATTCTGTGACTCATCCTTGCCCTGATATTACCCAAAAGAAGTCACAAGCTTGTTAGTTCTTTAATATAACCAAACACATTAGGAACAGGAAATCCCAAAAAGGACATTAAAAGGGTAAGCAGTGGATGAATATCCAAGCTCTCTAAGTTGTCCTGAGGAACAGAAAACTATACCTAGGAGGCAATGGAGGCTGCCAGAAGTACAACTTAGCTGCTCATGTTTTCCTCATCTCAAACCTTCCTTCACATCTCTTGCCAATTTATCCAACCCTTTTATAACTGGAAGTGACTATGCACAGGCAGGATTTGGACTGGCAGTTGAAAACAGGCACTAATGACACTTTGATACCTTACAGATAAACTGGTCCATGGTAAACATCTGCATACACACCTTGGAAGTTGTCTCCCAGATCTCATCCCTGGGGAGTAAACACCTACAGCTATCAGCTATCACTGAGCATGTCAAATATAGAAAATACCCAACTATTTGGGTATCTCATAATGTATTTTCAGTTTTCATTATGGAAAACTTGATTCCTTTAGTCAGCGTAAAGATGACCAAAAATACTACTGTATTTTCACGCCAGTTTCACTGTAAAGAAAGAAAAAATGTGTAGCTCTTTGAACCACTTCAAGAAAACGGAAATTTTTCAGACTAAAGTAGCAAAGAAGATCTAAATTCCAGGTCTGCTACAGACTCTCAAAAATACTCCAAGCAAACACCCTTGCTTTAATTATCAATTATCCTTCCCTTGTCAAACTATCTTGTCCAGATTGTCAATAAAAGTCTAAAACTATTTTAAAAAAATAAAATCAATCTCCTGGTTGGAAAAGGCTGTAGCAGAGTAATTACAACCACAGACATAATTTTTAAAAGAAAACTGACACACCAGCTTTACCAGTTACACTAAACTATGGAAAATATTTAGCTTTGGTAATAGCAAAATACATTCAGCAGATATCCATGCATCATTACAGTCCTGCACCAAGTGACCCAGATGTACATGTGTTATCCAGGAGAAACTCAAAACCAAATATTCCTTCAGTAAATAAAACTTTGAAGAGTAAAAGATGAAAAGGATGAACTCCAGTTATCTGCAAACCATAACTAGGTATAATTAAACCATTAAGTTTGCACACCTACTCTTTATCAGAGATGACTTTTGAGAGATGTCTTACTACAGACTTCTTGCACATTGGAGATTTCAAGCTGGGAAAGGATTCTGGTTACTTCCACTAAAGCTGGCTCTCTTAATTCAAACAACCATATCAATTATTTATTCACATGATCACTGATATCTGAGTCCTGATAAAAGCAGTTCCAAAAGTTTGGAGAGGAAAGAGTAAGTTTTCAACAGAAACTAAGGGACAAAACTAAACACCTGCCTTTCTTTTTTCTGCTTTCCTAATCCAAAGTTTTAAACTGCAGAAACAAAGTGGCTAAGAGTAAGTGGGCATGAGACAACAGAGCTGAAAGTCTCTAAAAACAGCCATCAGTGACTGAAGCTGGCAGCATTATTCCACAGAGGGCAACACTTGTGAAAACAACCAAGACAGCAGTGCTACAGTTGTGCTGCTGGCAAGGGACAGGCGTTTTAATGGAATCTTGGCCAGTAAATCCAGCAGGAGTCACCCACTTTCCATCCTATTCACCAACACCCTGAATACCTGCCCCATCTACAGACCAAGAATCTCCATTTTAGTTCATCTCTTAAGAAACTGCCAGGTCTCTTGGTTTGGAGTAGTAGTGTGATGGGGAAGCAAACTCTGCACCATCCCCGGTACTGAGCACTAGTTTAGCCTGAAGGGCAGTTCTGTTTCGTGACTGGATCCCTTTTAAACCAAACTGCAGCTCTAAGGCCCAAGCTTTCTCCAGACAGGAATGGAGATACAAAGGAGTGTCCTTCAAACTGTCTGGAACTGGCCAAGGGGAGAACACACCAAAACACCTGAGGCAAAACACAAATGACAATTTACATCAAAGGACCTTGGCACCAGGTGCTTCTATTTCCTTCTGCACATTAACCACACCAAATTGGTTCCTATTAGATATCATAAAGAAGCCTTTTGACACATTAAATCACCTGCCTACCATGCCAATCTCTTTGGAGAAAAGGATGTTGAGTTTTTAATACATTTCCTAGTACATTACACTAAGCAGCTGTGATGGGGTTTATTTTAATGTTACTGTTTTCAACACTTCTGCACTTTAATTCTTTAGCATTTATTCCTGTTAACATGGTATGTCAAGACATGTACCTATTATTCCCTCTAGCCATTTAAACAGTACTGTATTTCACATAACTTTCCCATCTGTCTCCTCAAAGGTACAAAATATGACATATGCATAAACAGCAAGATCAAATAAACATTTCCTTATAAATGAAATGAAAAAAAGAAAGTAAGTTATGTAGCATTTAAAGTATTTCCTTACCTGTATATTTGTTCATAGGAGATAGGGATGTAGTCACCAGGACTCTGAGTTAAAAGCTGATCTATGGCACTGTCCAACTTTGGCCAATATGTGCTCTTATAGTCTTCAATTGTTATAACATTCATTACTGCAAGAAAAAGACAAGAATAGATTTAGTAACTTCACCTAAAAGACCAGAAACAAGTGAATGCTCTGTGATTTCAGATCACACCAATAACCAGGCCAGCTGGGAACAGCTCACTTCCACTAAAATAACCTCATCTGAAACTAAAGCCCAGACTGAACTTGTACCTTTGTATTTACAAAAAGCAAATCAGAAAACCTGCCAAATCAGTGCTTCAGTATTTCTCTGGGGCCTAAGTAACATGGAAAAGCAAACTCCTGTGAGTTCTAACATGAAATTAGAATAATAAAAATTTATAAAAATATTAGTTCAGACTAATAAATTATGTAACTCTGTGGCAGTTCAGAATCAATTATTAACATGGCATCTTCACATTCAGGAGAACAAGCTCTGGCCAAGACCAGTAGGTTTTTGAATATTCTTTCCCAGCAGATGGATTAATTCCATAAGTCTCAGGTGGGACCAGCAGCTTCCTTGGTCTAAAAGATGATGCAATTCCCTCTGCCTACAACTGCAGTTAGGCTTCCAGGCAACTTTTTTGAATCTGTATTACAGTTCCCCTCTAGCAGGGACAATTACACTCCTTTTCCAGATAAAGATCACCACAGGGAAGAATAGGAGGTGTTTAAATTAGCGTTCCCCACTGCTCCCTGATCTTCCTCCTGAGCTTCCCAACTGCACCCTCTTGCACCAGTGACTCAGGGTGCCTTCACAGACACGGAAGGGTTTGGATCTGTCTCTTTTCAGGGAGGATTTCTGAACCAACCACTCGTGGCTCAGCTCCAAGAGGTTCACACCCTCCCTTCAGGGCTGTAGCCACAGCACTACCTCGTTGCCTTGTAACACCATCACAGCTTCACAGCACCCACTCAAAAAAGCCCTCAGCAACCAACAGCACCTCAATCAAATCTACTATTTGAATTCAAGCAATGAAATCAAATCAAATCAAATCAATCAAAACAAAAAAGGGTCAAAACCATCTAGCCTTGGAAATATAGAATAGTTTCTTCATTTGAGCTCCACATGTGGGTCTGGCCTAAATGGAACAGGGAATAAAGATACTTCTCACCCCACACAGACCAGTTTAGACACAACACTGGAAAGAAATATTTTGGTTAGGGATGAATTTTAAATATACATTTATATGTAGATTCACTGATGGTTCTGAGAAGCAATATTTTTGAAAGGTATTTTCATGAGGGGTTGAAATGAGCTGGGTGAGTCACTTTTGGCAGCATTATAAAGAACAATTCTAAGGAAATTGGCAAAACAGTTATGAGTATCATGAGGAAAAAAAAAGAAGATTGTAAAGAGAACATGGAATAAAGAGAGGTGTGAGACAAGGAAATCCTGGAACTCCACCTGCACGAGCAAGTATTACAGATTTCTTTGTGTGTCATGTTTGGGTATTTCAGCCAGAAACTTTGCTTAGAGAAAGATGCTAGTGCATCCTTCATCCAGCTGCAGCCATTGGTGCCCTCTTGCCTCACAGCTTTTACAGAATCAGATCTAGTTAACCTGAAAATGTCTGAGCAGTGACCAGGTCCCCCCAAGTGCTGCAAGACACTGCCCCAAGAGCCCAGCAGGCAATCTGAAAGGACATCACTGTTTGCTAACAAGAGAGTGAAGGTCACAGGGCTGGCTGCACAACCACCAGGATTTCAGGTAAGAAGTCAGCTTCCCCATGTAAAAGCACCCATGCAGCCAGTAACAGCACAGCACCTCCCTGGCAGTAAGCTCAGCCCTTACTCCCTGCCTTGCAATGCCTTGTTTGAGTTCTAATCCCTCACAGACCCCACAGTCCAGGCACATCTCAGTAGCAGCTCCACATAGCACCTTTACTATTCCTGCTTACACTCCACAGCAAAACCTGAGCTTTTGTTTTTTAGTTTGTTACCCCAAGAAAGATGGGCCTGCACAGAACCACTCTGTTCCACAGAAAATATTAAGCTGAAGTCAGCATAAACATTAGACCAAGTCTTGCTTTAAGATTTCAATGTATAATCACACCCACATCTGGTGTAACATATTAAATGAGCCAAATTAATTTGAAAGAAAATAGTCAAGTAAGAATTGCGAACACTGCAAAATCATTTTAACATGCTGTTGAGATGTTAATTTTTTATTTTATTTTTTTTACAATATGGAAAAAAAAAAGCAGCAGCAAACAGGAAAGTCAGCCCATTAGACATGCTGCACAGGTAAAGGACAAAACACTTTTACAAAAAGCCCTGTGAGACTCACATAGAAAAGTCAGCATAGAAAATTTACTGATAAATTTGCAGTAACATTCTAGAAAAGCTTAATTCTCATTCAAGTCTCTCACAAGTACTGTGTAATTTGATTTCCACACTTCGGTTCTGAAACTAAGCCAACCACAATATTTACATAGCTAAAAGTCCAAGACTACAAACTGAACAATCACTGTTTTTATTCTTCTAATACAGAAAACAAAGTACTTTAAAATTTTATTAACTATCACAAGTTACTAACATCCTTTTTTCTCCTGGCAGTGCTTACATACACAGAAGTGAAGGGTGGCCTAAAGACCCTCCATCTACAAACTGCAAGAACAAGGTTGAGACCAGCAAGGAAGGAATCACACAGATCCTTAGCAAGGAAAGACAGATTGCCCTTTAATTTTTTATTTCTCCCTCTTTTTAGGATGTCATGCTTAAATGCTTATCCCTTCATTAGGTGTTCAAGATTTAAAAGGATTTTCCCAAAAGCTTCCACTCCCAAACTGCAATTCAGTTGGTTTCTGGGAAGTGACACTGATATTTTGTAAGAAAGCATGCTAGAATGCAGGATTTTATCCAACTCCAGCAAGGTTGGGGAGGTGGGGCTGGGAGAGAAATCAGTCTGACGGAATCAAAAGAAGTCAGTATTTTCCATAGAATTCAGCATTTTCCAGAGAATTATTAAAGACTTCACAGGTAAAGCCTGAGCAACAACTGCTGCTTTTCCGTACAAAAAAAAGTTCAAAAGGAAAACTTTGAGTGAAATGCAGCAGTGAAACCATTTCAGGAAAAAAAGAATATGCATGAGCTATCATAACCTAGATATATCAGTATTAGAGTCAAAATGGAAACACAGTCTGCTTCAAGCAACCAAATTCTTTGACATCAACTTTAATGAAAAGAATGGCAAAACCCACTAAGATATTGGAAAAAAAAAACAAACCAAAAAACCCACAACCCACCAAGAGTAGGTATACATCCCTCATGGAACTGGTAATAAAACCTTACACTCACTTTTTCAAATCTGTAGCTAAAAAGCAAGAGACAGAGCAGGGTGCCTGATCCAACCTACTGCCAAGTAGGCAGACATCAGTCTGACAATTATCTATCATTTATTCTGGCAAAAAAAAAAAACGAAAGAAAGCAACTAAGAATCTTTCAGAAGCTGTATTTCATCTCACCAAGTGAGATACACAAAACTTTACTGCTCAACTAGCAGTGCACCCTACAATCCTCAATATTTTGCTAGAGTGTACAAACTCTTCAGGCAGCTGTCCAAGAGTCATCTACAGTCTGTGGTCCTGTGCTTTCCTCTTTCTCAGCCCCCATGTGCCTGTTTTCACAATAGATTTTGCTCTGCCCCCCTGCCTGACACATCCCAGCATACATTAGCAAGTTTATGAGTTTGCCCCGTGGTTGCTTCCAATTCTATTCTATTTTTATAACCTGTTTCTCAGCCTGCATTAAGGCTGGTTAGTAAAAGTAACTTTCTCTTCATCAGAGCATTTGCCCACGCAGCAATGCACACACACTGCACTGAACAATGTTATGCAACAGGGAAGGTAGCAGATTTAATGGATATGCCGATGCACACAGCCACATGTTGCCTGTCCCAACGGCACTGGCATCAACAACATTTATAACCACCCTTTCCTGAACAGAAAGAAACAAAATGGAAACTCTTCATTGGTCAGCACAATCAAGTTATGCTGCAATTATTATTATGGAAGAGTTTTTCTTCAAGTACTAAAAGTTCTTTGTCTTCTTTTCTCTCATGAGCTTTGAAAAACACTTTTCACAACACTGCTGCTTTATAAATCCACAGCTATGACTGAAGGTGATCAGCCATAAATATTTAGTGTTAAGTTTACTACAACATAAAAGTTTTTCTTAAGTTGCTTTAAGTAGAAGAAAATCTATTAAAGAAGAACTATTAAATGAACTATGCATTACTCTAATTTTAGCTCTCAGTCTCACCAAAACCTCAAGGAAGGAGAACTTGATTTAGCATCTTTGAAAGACAGGAAGGACACTGTCCAGGGCAGCCTCTGCATCATGAAGCAAGGCAACATTCAACTGCAGAACTGCCTAATGCAGCAGAGAACAGACAACTTTTCTACTAAACCTGGGACTGGCAAATATCTCCACACATTCCTTGCCATTACTGGGACAGAGCAGGCAGGAGGGATCCAGCACACCCTAATTCCCTCTTAAGGAACATTTATATCCAAAGCAACCTTTCTCCCTTTTCCTATGTGTGAAAATTAAACAAAGGTGATTAAGGGATCCTCTGTCAGAGCCAGGATAAGAACAAGCAGGACCCCAACTCAGCTCCTTTAAGTTCTCAGTCAATACTTCTTTGGACTTGTTCCATCTACTTACATGTACCATTACCACTATCTCCAACACAAAGATGTGGAAAAGTTCTAATGAATTTCCTTTTTTGAAGGAAAATAATTTAAAAAAAAAAAAACAACAAAAAACAGTAAGATATTATGTTGGGATATCAGCACTGGAGAAGTGAAAACAAGAACCCCAAAACTCCACCCTAAGCAAAATCATGCTCTGCTGCTGTTGCTTCTTCCCCTCAGATATAAATTGTGGATTAGCTGGAAAGTCACCTTCCCACTTGCTGGAGATCCAGCTTGAAAACCATTTTCATTCTGAAACAGAAGTAAAAACTAAGATTCTGAAAGTTTGGACTAGGACTTCAAGAGTCTAGTTTAGCAAGGTCGAACAACATCTCATTTCAACTGTCTCGAGGGTTTAGAAGCCACCCCGAGGTACCTGGAGCCCCGACAAGCAAGGGAGGCAAAGTGTCAGGGAGCTCACAGAGCCTGGGAGTCTTAACTTCAAAGCAGCCAGCCGTGGCCATGTGCCACAAAACCCAGGCTTACCCGAGAAACAGAAATCCAGAAGCCTGAACTTTGAGCTTTTGATCACCTCTGGACATGGACAGGTGAGAGAGCACTGGGGAAAGCAAGGAGGACACACAAAGTGCATTTTCCATCAAAATTTTATCATGGCAATCACACAGTTGCACTCCCAGGAATGATTTTAACTATCCAAATCCAAGTTTTCTGATGGTACACAAGAAAAAAAGGTCTATTTTGCCCAGAAGGGTGACTTTTAGAAAATAAAGCAGAGCTGAAATTTCCTTCCCTCGATCCTAGCTCAGTAAAAAATAGGGAAAAAATGCCATTTTTGTTAGAAGCTACACACAAAAGCCATTTTGGAACCCCCAATGGCAGGATGGATGGAGCTCTGAACAACCTGATCTGGAGGAAGGTGTCCCTGCTCAAGGAGGGGGCCGGGAACAATATGGTCTTTAAGGTCCCTTCTAACCCAAACCATTCTGTGGTGATTCTATTTTTGGGGTTAACTTGGGTAAATTAATCCTTTGTCGCTCCCATCAGACCTTTGCAGACACTTGTCCCTTCCGGGACAGAATGTCCCGTCCAAGGGCTCTGCCCAGAGCTGCCACCAGCAATCCCAAACAGGGTATTTTCTCCAATTCATCTCTACGTTTTTCAGCCTGAGAGACAAAAGTCTATAGAAAAGTACGACCTGAGCTAAAAGGCTTCAGAAAAAGCAGCAGCGAGATCCCTGCCCACGCTCACTCTCCCAGGTCTACAGCCACATCCACCCTGACAGCAAAGCAGAAGTTGGGGCGCTGTGCGAGGAAAGGTTATTTTCGCTTTCCAAAGCGCCTTAACCCGTTTGACTTCGCATCGAGAAGCCTCTCGAGGCGAGAGCCACGTCGGGGTAGGAGAGAGCCGAGCCCGGCCCCAGAAGGGAAGGGGGCAGCGAGTTCACTGCAGCAGGCGAGGCCCCCCGCGCCCGGGCCCGGGTCACTCACGGAACTTGGAGGTCGAGGCGCTGATGTTGATGGCGGCGATGGCCCCGGCCGCCCCCGCCCTGCCGGCGGCAGCCCCCGGCTCGCAGCCCCGCAGCCCCGCGCCGTTGTGCTCGGGCCCCGGGCGCGGCGGCCCGGCTGGCGGCAGCAGCCGCTCCCCGAGCAGGTGCCGCCCGTAGCCGCCCGCGCCCCAGTTGTTGTGGTTCTGGTCGTCCATCATGGCCTCGCCGCCGCCCTCCTCCTCCATGCTCTCCTCCTCCATGGCGGGCACCTGGCTGCGGGAGCGGGGCGGGATCAGCGCCCGCCGCCCATCGCCGCCGCCTCAGGCCCGGCGGGGCTCGGCGGGCTCGGCCCGGGCCCCAGCCCAGCTCCGGCCGCGCCGCGCGACACTTCGCGCCGGGCGGAACGCGACAGCCACGCCGCGCGGCACCGCCGCGGGGCATGCTGGGGAATGTAGTCCTGCGGGGCGGAGCGACTGGCGGGGCGCGGAAAGAGGCGCGGCCGGAGCGAGGTCCGTGCCCGACCGCGCCCGGGGTTGGCAATTCCCGGTTCTCCCATGCCAGGGAGCTTTTCTCTGGAGCGGGGAGGCTCCGGCAGGGCCCGAGCGGGGAGCGGGCCCCGTGCCCACAGCGCCCCCTGGCGGGAGCGCGGCGGCCGGGAAGGGAGCGCTCTCAGGGACAGGGAGCCAGCGTGGATCGGGATGTCGCCTGTCACAACCTGTCCCCTTTCTTCCACACCAGCCCGGGACACTGCAAGGCGAAACTTTGGAAACAAAGCATCCTTAGGGTCCCTTCCAGCCCAACCTGCTCCGGGGCTGTGAGGTGCCTGCACAACACTGCTCCCTTCCATTCTCCTGCTCACAGCGGGAATTACCTGCGCAAATAATGATAAACCCGCCTGTCTTGCAATTAACAATGTAACAATTAAAAAGTGTTTTTTAATATGCTCTTCATCAAGAACTGTAGTTATAGGACGAGGAGTAATGGCTAAGTACAAATTGAAAGGGGAAATTTAGGTCAGGTGTTAGGAAGAAATACTTTACTGTGAGTGTGGTGAGACGCTGGAAGGGGTTGCCCACGGAAGTCATGGATTCCCCATCCCTGGCAGTGTTGAGGGATGCTTTGGATGAGCCTTGAGCAACCTGGTCTAGTGGAAGATGTCCCTGTCCATGGCAGAGAGGTGGGGACTAGATGGTCCTTAAGCTCCCTTCTAAGCCCTTCACATTCCGTGATTCTGTGATAATACTTGCTAGTTGCCTTCAAGTACACTTGCTTTAAGTTTTATTTTCATTTTCACTTGGGTACCGTGATGGAAGAGTGGAAATGAGTAGTGGGTTTTTACTGAAAATAGATTTCCACTGTGTGGGTTTTTGATCTCGCTTGGAAAACAGAACAAATAAAGTGAAAAATGCAGATAAAATCAAAGGTGCCTTGCTTTCTTTCCAAAATGTCTCATAAAAGTGAAAAACATGTCATTTTTTTCTGAGTAGAAACACCAGGTTTTATCTTACCGTGAAACAAAGTTGTTCAGTTTTACAGAAGCAGAAGATGCCACTGATTTCACAGCACTGTGGAACCATCTCAAGTTGCTTTGGGAAAGGTGACTGATGAAAACAGTTTGTCCCTGTTGCATGGGGGAGCTTTGTACATTTTTGAACTAAGAGTGTTTTCCTTAGATGTAAAATCACACCTTGAGCATCAACGCTCCACTCAAACCAATAGACATTTCCATTTTCCATCTTAGTAAACACCAACAAGTCACAATTTTGTCTCAGAGTCCAAAAGCTGATTTGGCACATCATGCATAGATCTCAGATTACAGGTTCAGCAAATTCACGGTCCTGCTTTGGCTGCTGATTCGTTTCTGTCTACACCTTTGCCACATCTGGAAAGAGAACAGACAGGACATTTTTTGTTCACTCTGCTACAATCTGTGTTTAGTGATTTGCATGTGCAGTGTAATGCAAGTATCAGTAGAGTCATTTATAATGGATGTTAGAGCTGGAAAGCTAAAGCAGCAAACCATTTTCAGCTTAGGCAAGTGTTGTGATTCTCTGATAACCACAAAGAAAAGTAAACGGAGTTTGCATATCTTCGCTGCTTCAAGGAAGGCATGTTTGTGTTCTCAACCCTCAGAGCTACTTCAGCGTAGCCTCCCACTCATCTGCTCTTGCTGATCTCAGGAGTGGGTCTCAGATTGTTTGCCAGTATTTAAAAACAACGTGACCTGAGGAGGAATCAGAAACTTTCTCTTATCAGCAGAGTTTTATCTTTGTTTTACTAATTTCAAAAGAGCTTATGTTAACATCTAGGAGCAGTGGAAAAGTAAGACGAACCCAGCATTTTTCAGTTCTAGAATTTCTGCTTGTCATTTTCAGTTCTAAAATGTCTTCTTTTCTCTTTCATACTCTCTTGCTGCCCACACCTATTTCTGTTGCCATCTCTGTAATTCACTGAACAGCTGGGGCTTTGCTTTGCTTTGGTGGTTGGGGGTTTTTGCCTCAATCTTTAAAGGTACATTCCCTTGTAATTCCTTTTCACAACCTTCCATTCACTGTAACTGCACTCCCTGCACTTCCCTGTGGCAGGAATCCAAGAAAGCCTAGGAAATACTTCACCAAGCATTTCTCCTCCATTGCCTTGTGCAACGAGGCAGCTCATCTTACCAATCAAACAAGGAGCCCTTTCATGCCTCCCATAAGGCAAATTACAAGCTGCAACAGTCATCCGTGGCTCACGCTATTCAAAACACGCCTGCACGCTGATAAAGGCACTATCAAATGGTTCATCACTGCAGCAGCACTTGTTTTTGCATGAGGACTTCTCTGCAACATTTCCTTTTTTCCTTGTCAGCATGTGAAATTTTGACTCAGGCTTTAAATACTTTCTTGGCAAAGTTACATTTTGAAATACCACAACTATAATTATTTTCGCTGTTAGCTGAGAATACCACATAAAAATGCAATTCTGACAAGACCTGAGGATCCTCACGTCTCTGTAACATCCCTGGAGACTCGAGGCTTGTCTCTATTGTAACTAGCTCATCAGTAGACTACAGCAATTTCGATGACAAAGTAACATGCAGATGTCACACTTTCATTTCAGTCTCCTGGATCTGTATGTAATTACCCAGACAAGTATGGCAAGCGTTTGTTACATCTTCATAATATTTTTTTTTTCTCCTTTCTCTTTTTTTTTTTTTTGGCTCACAACTTTTGATAACCAGGTCACAGCCACAAGCTTTGCTACAAATTAAAAGGGAAGATCAAGATTTCCTAACAGTACCCATCCATGGAAAGTGTGAGGCATTAAAGAAATATTTTCTACACAGAACTCTGCAGAAATGACTCTACAAGGAAGCTTTTCCTTCCAGGTTCTCAGAAGCAGACACCTGTTGGATGTTTCCTCTTGTGTAATTTCAATTTTATATGAACATTTGTATCAATCAGATAAGGGAATTTTGTTTTTCTCATCAATTTGTGTTTATAGAGCAGAATTATTAGGTAGCCCAGAAGAGATGTTTCTGCACCTTGTGTCCCAGCTGGGTGTATAGAGGTAGCAGTTAAAAGACATATGAGGCATGTTGGGAAAAGACATGCATATTTTGGTGTATTTCTTGCTATTGGTAATAAATATGACATGGATACAATTCTTATTTTAAGGACACTTCTTCCTGATTTCCCAAGCACCAATTCCACTGCAGTCAGTAGGAAAGCTTTCATTGATTTCAATGGGATTTCAATCAAGCCCTAACACAGCACATGAAATGCTTTTTAGATTTATAGCTCCAGTTCTAAAAACCAAATAAAAGAAGAAAATAATGCCAACAAGAAAGAAAACTTAATGCTAGGCAGAGCCTTAAATAGCAGTGTGTCAGGAGGAGTGTGCAACAGAGTTCTTTCAATGCTTGATAAGACAGCCCCTTGCTGAGTGCTGGCAGAGAGCAGATAAACCTAACAGGAGGTTTAGGTGCTCGTTATTTTTGGGACATATTTTGACAATTGATGATTTGCTCAGGTGCAGGGAACTGATAGTCCTGTTGCAGACTGGCAATTTGTGACACACCTCTTTCAATAGCAGCTCCCACTTTGGGCAAGCTGATCCGTGTAAAGTTCTCTTGAAAATGTGCCAGTTATGGGATGGAGAGACCATCCTTAGTGTCTCTTGACTACATGTAATTTGTGAGCAGTGACTATATACAGCCTGTCTTATTGTATCACATTGTCTCAGTTGGTCCCTCCCCAAGGAGGAAAATAAACAGAAAAACACAGCTTATGTGATAATTCTGTAGGAAATAAAGGCTATTAACATGTTTTACCATCACTATCAATTTCTGAGTTCAATAGAAGGTATCAGAGCACAAGCAGAAATCACCTGCCTTAAGAGGAATAAATGATCCTTGCCATCTTCCACAGGCAGAAGCTCTATTGTGAACAGAGGAAATTCCAGCTAATCCCCACCAAGACAGCAGGAACATGCTCTTGCCAGGTGCCAGCAGAGTGCCTTTGGTGGAGAAGAGAAGCACACAGCCAGGGAAAGCCAGGGAATAGCAGGGTAGATGTGAGCTCTGATCAAAGCTGAACATGGGTAGTCCAGGGATGTCTGCCCTTTCCCTGTACTGTCCCACATGGCTGCTTTGCAGGGCAGAACAAAAATACAGAATCAAATCAGATCATATTCTCCTGAAACAAACTAAAGAGTCACACCATGGTCTGTTCCGGGCACCCTTGGGTGCATACGCAAAACCTCAGCTTGATAATTTCCCCTTTGGCTGCATGGAATAGTTTTACATAAGGCTCAAGTGTGTCTCTGCTTTTGTCCTTCAGCAAGGCTGTATTGCTACTTCTCAGCCTTACAAAGAGGACAGGACCCAGAACTGAGTGTGAAAATGTTTAAAATGGAAATGTATTTTCAAACCAGCCCCTCTCCCTCTGTCTGAATGCTCTCACCAACAAGGTATTAAGAGCACAATGACTACAGGAGTACATGTACTGAAATTGTTCCAGTTTCCCCTCTAGTGGTCCTATTCCCTGCATCATCTGTGCCTGGTGTGAGGGCCCTGAGTGCACTAATTTGCCATAATTAACAAGACCAACCTCACCTAGATTCCCATAAAAGCAGTGCCGCTTTTGTCCACAAGCTCTGTTTAAGCTCAGAGTTCAAGGTTCACTCCATACCTGCCCTATGCTGTGTACGTCCTGTCAGCTTTCTCTGCCGAATCCTGACATGTTCCTCCCTCATAAATTATTTAACAGGATTATCTCAAGGTCTCAGTCACCGAGTTCCTGCATATGAGAACAGCTCAGTATTTGGCCCATGGGAACAGGAGACAAGACAGCCCTGCCCAGCCGTGTTCCCTGGGCC